CCCCCCTCGTACGCGCGTGCGCACGCGCACACACACACACACACACACACACAATCAATTAATTTGTCAAGTAATTAATTTGTTAATTTTAACAATTAATTTGGAGAAACCGTTAAAGGAGAACTCTTTCAAACGAAGAAAGGTATAACGCGACCATTATTTTCATCATCACATAATTTTCAATGATAAGAACCGAGAAGTATTCTATTTTGTTGACTACATTGACCACTTGCGTTTCACGAGAAGCAGAAGCGTAAAAAAACTCACCGATGCAGATGAAGAGCGTCGCGAAGAGAATCGGCGGGAAAGCTCTCGAGAAGGAAAACATTCTGCTGCCGGTGGTTGGAGCTTGTACTGCGAGAACTGAGAATAAGTCCGTCAGTTTGGACCGATGATACTTGCGAAAGCCAGGAGCCGCCCAGGAGCGATATAGAAACTACAAGGCACTTGATCCAGCGACTTCGTCTCTTGAAAACCTCTCTTCGATCTTCGATGATCAATCCGTTCGATTCGATCCGTTCGCGATCAGCCTGCAGACCAAAATTCTGTTTTCTCTTAATACAAGACGATCACTGACAATCTTTAGATCGGGGATCCAATCGCGATCCTCCGTGTGTCTCTTCTTGTTTTCCGATCCTATGCCTCTCTTTTCCCAAATTCTTCTATTCCTTACTTTTGATCTTATCTTAGGATTTGTTTAACTGGCTTCGTGTATTGTTTGTTCTCCGTTTGTTCGGATAAAAATTTATTCGATTGAAGACGATTTTTGTTTGGAGGCACTGAAGGGTTACACGAAATCACGAGTGGCCGCTTTTTGATTGCTGGGCCACGAAAGAGCGCGTCCTAACGCGTACGACTGGTGAGGCGCCGCCGTCGGACTGACTTTCTCCGTTACGTTACGCTGCAGTAGTGGCGCCGCGACGCGCCGCGCCGCGTCGTCGCGCGCGCTTATCTTCTCGCACCTCTGTGCCCTCCACCATTTTCCTTTGCACACATCTATGTATGTTCATGTGTTTCTGTGTGGCCTGTGCATACGACCGCTATAAAATTCGGCCTGTTCCCTTTCGCTGGCCTCTTTTGTAATTTGCGCAAGCTGGCCACTTTAGCTTCCGGATTATCGTTCGATAAACAAATTCGATAAAACAATTCACAATTTACGTTCGAGTTCGCACGATCTGTTATCTACGATTTTAACTTTCTTTACTTTAACGCAATTTTGCTTCGAATTCACTTCTAGTTCAGAATCTTCGTGCTATCAGATTTTCTTCATCACATAAAAGCATATACGTACTACGAGATGATACGAAATTTGATATACTTCAACTTAATTGCACACTACCACACGCTATTTTACCTACATTATTCTAGGCTGCCATATACATACGTATGTACTGTAATGTCGACAATAAAAAGTACGCAGCCGCTTAATATATAAACTTAGTATATATGTATAAGTTTTATTAATTTTTGAGAAAACAAGAAGCTAAAATACTAATTTTTAGATATTCTTTCAAAAATTCTAATCAACGTATCTATTCGATCGTATAGCATAATTTCAAATTCTCAAAGCCTTTCAATTTCAATGCATTACAAACACTGTATTTATATAATAGTTGTTAAAAATTCAATATCGATAGCGTAATACTTTAACTTTAGTTTCGTGGCGTTTTATCCGGTGAACTTTTTTAATTATCATTTTATCGGTCACCTCCAGTTTCCTAGTTATCAGTTTTGCTCAGCGCCCCGTTAAACCTTTCTTTCGTTTATCCGCGTGTCGTCGCAGAAATTTGTGAAACAATCGCAGCTGTGTCAAAGGTAATCCTAATATTCGCAACCCGAAATTCATCGTTCACATCGTTTCTTGTCAACTTGTTAAATGTGGCAATAGTTCAATTACAATCGCGCCATCGATCAATTTCCTTGACGTTCCACTATCAAATTTTCAACCCATTTTCTGTGCATTGTTTATCGTTACTACGCCTATACGGATCAATAGAACGAAGAGAGTAGTAGAAAATGTTATGAGCAATTTCATTTATTTCATAAATATTTTTCTAACGAAACTTCAAAAATTCAACGTTTATTTCGTCATAGTTTGAAAGTTTTACGTAAGAATCTGCTTAACTTCAAGAATTGTACAAAAATGAGATAGTATATAATAGTAAATCGCTAATAAATACGGAATTATATATTGAAAACTTTCAGACATATGAAAACACTTTACGCACACACAATGAATAAAATAATCAAATAAAATAACAAATAATAATATTAAGCAAGATGGATTGCAAATGTTCATGCATTTATAAATTATTAAATGTAGAAAATATTTATCCGCGATAACTATTGCAGTAAAAATGCTGTTTGTGGGATTCACCTCCAATCACTTCAACTTTATTTGGTAATACAATTTTATTTTAGCAAAAATCCTGCAATTTGCAGTAACCGAGTATCGTACCAACTAACATCCGCTCGATGCGTCTCTACTTGCTAGTACTGCTGTTGATCGAATGCCCCAACTTCAATTCCGTTTTCCAAGCATCTGCCTGGATTCGCCGCCTTTATCTCGCCTTTATCTCGCCTTGCCCGGTCCAAACAACTATCGGCAGAAGTGTAATGCAATCCGTTCATCTAATTAACGACAGTTGCAGTCGCTTTTACCTCGTATGTGTACATCATCAAGATCACCCTGCTTAGTGGCCTTCGCAAGATTTTAGCCGTATTTGAACAGTGGTTGTTTCTTCAGCGACGTTTAATTTCCCTGGTTAACTTTCTCGTGAATATTTACCGTTTACATCATATCCAGTTGCATCATCGTTATCGGGCGTGCATTCATTTAACAGCTATCGGTAACGTGTATACATCGCGCATGCCTATGCTCTATGTATTATACGCGGGTGTAACGTCAATTCACATCAGAGACCAGGCCACACACCACGGACAG